TTATTTACTGACTGTGCGATGTGAGCCGTGGCAAATGGATCCACCGAACTTGGGTGTTCGGATCATAGTTTTCCAACTTAACTGTTGTTTCCGCTGACACACGGATAATGAATACAGCCATTCGGATCACGGACCAGGCACTTCCCGAACAAGAAGACAAAGGCATCTTTAAATGTCAAATGGCATAGTTTGCAGTTCAGTGGAAATGACCTAGAAGGTTTCGTGACAGCAGGTGCTACCAGAGACCACTAAACGCTTTCGTTGTCTGGTTCCATAAGTACTACTGACCTATGACTTTAACAGGAAAACGTTCTCATTGGCTGACTTCTCGATAATGAGCTTCGAGCTCGTTTGATTAGAGTTTTCAGTGAGTCTACCGACATAGAACCGAAAATGGTGGGTCTCTATGGGTGGGATCCCCTGAGAGTCACTAAGATCGACTCATCCGTTGACTGGGAAGGTCTTCTCTTTTCATGGCTGTTCAAACAAGTGGGTTAATGCTTTGCGAAGCAGTTCATGCCTATTGTTAAAGGGTGCGAATGCGAAATAATACGACCCGACAGGACAGAAACAATTGATGTTCATCTTTGATAGAGCCACTAAAGTAGTCGGCGACGCTTAAGCGTGCACCATGAGCATGAAGAGTCTACAGAGCAAAAGTACAAACGCACTGCTTGTTATGGGTTATTCACGGAAACCTGCCCGCCCCTATCGAGGGGCTATCAAAAAGGCAGGCTCGTAGACAGTGTAATGGCCACCAAGCATGAGATGATTACATAGGGAAGAGTACTGATATTTGTTTGTACATGGCGACCTTCCTGAACGTTATCTGTTCTCTTCTCGTTTTTACTTACAAATAATAGTATTAGATTGTGCGAGAATATTTTTTGATTAACCAATGCGATTATCCTTCTCGATATCTGGTAAAATGTTGGACTTTTATCCTCTATGGGTTCACGGATCCGTTCGTTAGGGAATGCTTCTCCTAACACCAACCCGTCTACTGTTGTATGATTTCAGCCTGGGGTTGAGCTGGAGCGGCGTGACAGAGACTCGACAACGATCGGTCCATCTTCTGGGTCGACAATCAGGTGCAGGGAAGGTTGGTGGTGTGATAGGATTATTTTACTGAGTAACCTGTCCTTAGTAGTTTGAACTCGTTCAGGAGTTATTAAAGAGGCGTAGTTAGGGCATCTTCTCTTTTGTCGAATGAAGTGTAGCTCCTGAGTTGATTGATGTGCCGGACTCATCTGTCATTGCCTACGGCCACTTCACAACATACATGGCTATATCTTTTTACAACCATTCCAGGTGTCCAAGAGATTTTGTTGTTTCGATAGTCCTTTTCTAACACTTTCTGTCCAACGTCGAAGTGTCGTGGTATAACGTGATGCCTTCGGTTGCACTGACGCTCCATTATCCAGTTGCTTTCAAAGTTGGGTCTATACAGCGGCCTTTTTAGATCAAATTTCGTTCTAGGCCTTCTGAGCAGGAGTGATTCTGCTGGGGACTTACCTTCAGATGTCTGTGGATTAGGCGTAATCCTGCACGTTAGCCGAAAATTTTGTAAGACCTCTTGAATTGGTCCGTCTCCTTCAGCTTTGAGCAGATCCCACTTAAAAAGTATCCAAAAATTGTTCAGCTTGCCCAACTGACTGTGGATGATAAGGAAGTGAGCGCACATGCTGCATGCCTTGCTCCGCACAGAATTCAGCAGTGTGAAGAAGTAAACTTAGGTCCATTGTCGGGTACTACTGTTCCCGGAAAACCGAACCGAATGAATACTTTTTTGGGGATTGTAATAGTCGATGTTGATATGTACGACATTTGGAAGATCTCGGGCCATTTGTTGTATACCTCGATAAGAAGTGAGGAATTTTGTCCTTTAACTGGCCCTGCGAAATCTAGGTGAACCATTGACCATGGTATCGTGGGCGTCGGTCAGGAGAACAGTTCCATGGCGACTTTGCTGCTACGGCACACTTTGAATAGGAACATGTTAACTCTTTAACTTGAGAATCCATAGATGGCCAGTACGCATAACTCCTCGCTAGAACCTTTATCTTGTTGCAACCGGGATGTCCAGTATGAAATTGATGTAGAAGTTTGGATTGAAGTTCGGCTGGGATGACGACACCAAACAGGATACAGTCTTCGACGACCGATAGTGCATTTCGTCTCTGCAACAATTGTTGTAGCTGTGCGTCCGAAATTTTTCTTGGCCACTGTGAGTGGTAAAACGTACTCACCTGTGACAGCAACGGGTCCTGTAAAGTGGCATCTAGAATCTGACTGAAAGATATTGGGAGCTGGCTCACAGTATCCGAGAGCACACAGGTAACTTCCGTCTCGATTGAGACATTTGCAACGACAGTGTCTTTTGATTGGTGCTGTTCGTCCAACAAGCGTGAAAGCGCATCGGCCTGACAAATGTCGCTCGTCAACCGGCACTTGATGTTGAAATCGTACCCCAGCAGCCACCCACTTCTGCAGAAGATTGGCCGTATATGCCGGAATTGCTTTCTTCGAGCCGAATATAGCAAGAATCAGTTTGTGGTCCGTTAGTAAAATCAAGTGACGGCTATATAACATTTTGTGGTAATGTTGCACTGCAAACGTAATAGCGAGAGCCTCCTTTACAATCACAATGGGGAACTGTTCATGAAAAGTAATTGGTCGGTTTGACAACGCCGGCTAACTGTAGTCTGCTAAGTTTTTGGTCGACTATTGAAACCACTGCATATGGAACCGGTCTCCTAGGTCGGAAGACTGGCTTTGCGTCTGGTCATAGGGATAAACTGGACTTGGTTATCGTGCACAACCCCAAACCATCTTGAAACATCTGCGGATATTTCCTCCGTAAAGACACTGCTCACTTTGCAGATGCGTCGCTTACTCTGTTACACACGGAATTAAAGGGGACATCAAGCAGGATGTCTTGTTACGTATCAAACCCCTTCGAATTGACAATCTTTGAAAGCAACGGGGCGCGAGATTTTACCAGTGAGGTTCAGTACGCATCTTCAAGCATTGCTTTTAACGCGCGTTGTTTCCTGCATGGATAGTCCACCAATCTTGTCCCAAGTTGTCTCAGAAATGACTGTGATATCGGAGGTGCACAGGTAGTTGATTCACAACTACTGTAACGAACCTACCGCATTTGGCGGCCCACTCATCGAAAGTAGCAAAAACAGGATAAAGCTGGAGTCTATGTTTTGGTGATGAGCTTGCTACAAACTGGAATAGCTGGTGGCGCCGAAGTGACACTTGGCGTCCTCCTGAAGGTGGTCAGCAATGGATGCAAATTGATCACATTGCCCAAAGTTACAGGTGGCGTGGTTCCGGCCTGGATTGTCGCTCGTTCTGAAATACATGCGTCGACTCTGATCATGCCTTGGTATGCTATCACTTTTCCCTGAACTTTACCGGGAGGCGCATCAAACGTCTCCTTCGATTTGCAACTGTGAAATTGTCTCATCCCTCGGTCAGGCAAGCCTATCAAGACGCATTGCGTATCGAACTTTCGCTTCCTTGTCCTAATGACACCGAGCTTCAGTGGAATAGGATCTCGGTCGCCATGCATAACACAGGGGCATCTGCTTGTGATACTAGCAATCGTCACCGCACCAGTTACTGGATATCCGAGGGGTCGGTGAAGCTGTTGAAATCCCGAAGACCCCCCCGGGCGGCTCTGAGCACGATGTGACCAGACGGACTATTAGACGCGAAATAAAGCAGAGCCTGTGTGCTGACAAATAAGCCTGGTGGACCAGTCGGGCTCTAGAAATGGAGGAAGCAGGAACAGTAGGCAATTAGCGCAAGCTCTTCCAGCTGATCCGCACCACTGGTCCCAGGAAACCAGGCGTCAGTGAGACAATCAGAGGCAGCGCGGGTGCACTGATACACCATAAGGAGCGCCGTATGGCTCGTTGGGCGGAACACTCAGTATCAGTTCAAGGGGTACCTTGCTCCCGGACCTCTTCCTACTCAGGTGACGCAGGATGAGCCATGTACGGTTAGTTTAGATGCTCCATCGGAGGCTGAGGTCCGAAACGCGTGCTGCTGGCCCGTATTCTCTCCCACCTGCACTATTCAAGGATGGATGCGAGGTGCTCTGCAAAGCACAGATCTCCCTATTCGAACATATCTGGAAGGAACAGAGCGTCCCGGCTAACTGGAGTGAATCGATTATGGCGGCAATATAAAAGGGCAGTCGCACCGACTGTGCTAACCACAGGGGTAATAGCTTAATGCAAATTGTGACAAAATTACTGGCCTCGATTCTCGTTCGTCGCCTCACTGTGGAACAGGAATCTCGGATTAGGGAAGAACAAACAGATTTCCGCAGAGCACGTGAATGCACATACCATGTATTCGCTCTGCGGCAGGTGCTAGAGCAGTGCCACGCATACCGCGGACCGACGATAGCTGCGTTCCTTGACTTCAAGAGTGCGTTCCATTAAGTCGATCGATGCATTCTGTTCGAAATACTTGCGCGGAAATGCGTACCCAACAAAATATGTGAACATCTTACGCGCTCTATGCCCGAACAGTACAGGCCGCCTCAGAGTCTACGGTAACCTGTCGGATAGCCTTCCGACAGAGTCGTCCGAGCCTGGCTGCCGCCCGCGCGGCCCGGCACCCGTCGTCGTCCCGTTCCCATATCGGTCCCCCTCACGGGACTCCGATCGACTACTACGAGCCTTCCCCGCCCCGATACCCCGGCACCAGTCCGGCGCTCCGCGCACTCGTCCGCCGCGACCTAATCCCCCCGCCCTTCACGGCTCGCTTTCCCCGACGATTCACCGCGCCTGCCCACCCTCAACGCGTCCGATCAACGGCGGTCGCCATCATTTATCTTTTCCGGCCCTACTCTCCCTCCGAGCCGATAGCCAGCCATTTTTTTACTAGAATTTCCGCTCGTCTCCGATTTGCCCCTCCGCGTTTCACGATTATCCCGATTCCGGCGCCGCTCCGCGGTTTCCCGCCCCCCGCCCCGAATGCCGCGCGTCCCGCCGCCCCGTTTCGCCTCCGCGCCCGCCGATCCGACACCGACCCCCCGTCCCCTTTTTTCGCCCCGCTCCTCCGACGCGATTTCCCGTTCACGCTCCCCCGATTTTCTGCGTCCGCCGGCAGTCGCGCACCTGATCCGCGTCCGCGCACTCGTTGTCGACGATAGAGTTCCCGGATCCGCCGATCCCCGTCCCGCTTCCGCGCCCTCCCCGCTTCCCTTTCCACCGACATCGATCGCCGCCGACCCGACGATCGTCGATTTAGGTCCCCCACGGCCCGCTCCGTGATCGGAACGCCCTTCGTACCGCGAGGCGCCCACGTGGCCCGTAACCCCCCGTTTTTCCGCCGCCGATTCCGTTAACTGGCTCACTCCATTAATGGAGTATACCTTGCAGAATCTCACGTGTAGGTGTTGAAGTGCTTGCCTGGTGAAAGGTTAGTTGACTCTTGCTTATGCATGATGACATCGGTTTTTTTGAGGATTTTGGGGGCCTAAACACCCTGAATAGTCGCTTTTCTGGAGTGGTCCTTCGCAATTCAAAGTGAAAAGCTGTTGTGCAGGAAAGCCATTGATGACTCATTGACACATTGATAGACGAGAAACTCGAGGCGTTGATGATTTACTTACTTGGCAGTGCATCAGAATGATGGGCGAATCAGAACTCGAAGTTAGTTCACGCGCTGCAAAGCCAAAACGGCCTACTTGAACTGCGCATTTTGACGACAGAGTGGAGTTTCCCTCCGTTGAAAAGTGTGTAACAAAGGCTACAGCCGAGGGCCGTCTACTTATGGGAGTAAAACTTGGCCCTTCGTTTTGAAGACTGAGGAAGCCTTCAAGTCTTTGATCACTGTCGTTTGCGGAGCTTTGCTTGTGCCGGGTGGCAGTAGCGTTGTCCGCAACGATGAAGTTCGTGAGGGCGATAGTATAGGCAGTGATAACCAAGCTTGCTTCCTCAGAGAAACAACAGTTTAGTATCTGAATAAGTTGCTTTGGCTTGGGCACGTACTACGTATGCTGGGTCACCGTTTCGGGGGCTGATTTGGTTCTTCCAGATGCTGGGGTGCGCAAGGCTCGAGGCAGCAGAAGCTCATAGGCGGATGAGGAAATGAAATCATTGAGGACCCATAACAAGGTGCTGTTGGTCCGTCTCGATTCCGGTGGAGCTCACGTGATCGCTGTGTTGGGCTCCAGACTTAGGGCATGGTTCGTAAATGACACCGTGGGCGGTTTGGTGCCGTCTCCTAGTGGATCTGCCTGTTTAATGTGTGTATGGTGCCGAGTTATCTGGGGGGTATTGGAGATTCTAATGCGGGGCAGTGAAGTGTGAGGGGAATGTTCGGAGAGCAGAAGGGTGATGTTGTAAGGGGGAGAGAGAGGTAAGAAGGGAGCGAAGGAGCCAAAGAAATGGAGTCATAAAAATGGCGGGGGGTAAAAGCTCGGAACGAACAGGAAGATAGAGAGGGAACAAAGACATAGCAAAAAAAGAGGGGGAATGGAACAGTGAAAAAAGGAGAAGTGGCAAGCAGCAGAGGATGCATAGCTAGGTGCAAATTAAGAGGAGCTTGGACAAAACCTGGGAGTAAAAGATTGACGAGCGGATAAGAAAGTATTAGGGAAGAAAGGTAATATGACAAAAGAATAGAAAGGAAGAAAGGAGTTGAGCCAGAAAGGTGATCGGTAGGCAGCCAGCAGGGGAACGCGATAATAAAAAGCTAACAGTAAAGAAGAAAACGGGGAGATAGGCAGTGCGTCTTAAAATGAGAAAGGGGGAGTCTAAAGCTGGAGACGCAAGAAGTGGCGCAGAGGTAGAAAGGAAAAGAGAGAATATGAAGTTGAAAAAAGATAATCTTAAGTAAAAGACAAACAAGTCACGGTATAAGGAAAAGAGCAATGAGGTGGTCAAGCGAATGTAAATAATAAATTAAAGTAGACAAGAATAAGATATAGTCCATTGAAATGAGTAAAAATATGAGATAGAAGCAAATCAAGAAGGAATGAAGACAAAGGAAGAGACAGGTCTTAAGTGACAAAAATGAAAGAAAAGAATAGATATAGGAAGAAGAGAGTATGATAAAGTATATAAATTAAAGAGGAGGCAGTAAGACGTTGTATAAAGCTGATGGGAATAAGAAAGCTGAGGGAAGCAGGTATGGAAAGGTAAACTAAAACAAGAAAAACGAAAAAAAGGTACTAGAAGAGTGCCATATGCAGGAGAAAAAGAGACAAAAGCAGCAGAGAGAAGCATGTTCGTGTAGGAAAGCGGATTCACGAGCATTATAAAGGACAATGGAGAGGAAAGATAGAGATAGCGAAGGGAGGATACAATAAGCACGAAAGGAAGAAGTGAATAGAACTAGGAGAAAGGATAACAATAACTAATAAAGCGTAACAAAAATAAAGAATGGAAGTGTAAAAGTACAAAAAGATGGAAGGAAAGGGGTGAAAAAACAATAAAAGATAGGGAAGGTAGCAGGGGGGTACGAGGGTGGGGAGGATAATAGAGTTGATTGGGAATAGAAAACTGAAAAAAGAGACTGAAGTAAATGTCAAAAATGAAAGAATAAAAACAAAGCAACGGGTGCAAATAAGTCGAAGGAAAGGGATAAGAAGGAAAAGAACGGAGAAGCTGTGAAGGGTACAACCATAAGAAAGTAACTTAACGATACAAAACAAACGAATACAAGATTGAGACACGAGAAACCGAATAAGACTTCAAAAATGGGAAGGACGCGGAGAGTAAGCTCTTGAACGCTGAAGAAGATAGAAAATAAGAGAATAATTGTGAAGGAGAAGAGAAGAAAGAATGAAAAGAAGGAAAAGAAGGGTATAGACATGTAAGAAAGTGAGAAACAGGAATACTAAGAATAAATCTATAATAAGTCAAAGCTTAATAAGGCTAGGTAGAAAAGCTAGAAGCAAAAACTAAAGGAGGAAGAAGGTAAAGAAAAAAGAACAGAGAAAATGGATATAGTATAGGAAAAAAGAAGAGGGGTAAGAAGAGCAAAACAAACGGGGAAAAGCAAGGACACGAGAAACACTTGAAAAGAAGGGTGGAGAAGTGCAACTAAAAGTGGGGCGTATGAAGGAAATCCAAAGAAAGATATTGGACGTAAGAATGAGCGCTGAGGGTGAGCGAACGTTGCAAATAAGCTAAGGAACGATTTCAAGTCTGGGATGGCAAGCTGAAGTGGTATGGTACAAGTAACGAAAGACAGCAAGCTGGAAGGGGATGGGAAAAAACAAGCGGTAACTAAACGGAGTAAAAGGTAAGGAAGAGGAAAAGGACAAAAATATAGGAAAGCTGACAAGCTAAGCACCAAAATGAATAATAAATGAAAAGAGTGGGCTACGCCAGAGATACAGAAAGATCCTTAGCAAACAGAAAAACAAAGAAGCTACAAAAGCTATGAAAGAAGACGGGGAAAAAAAAAAAATGTGTTAGTTGCTAGAGATGAAAAGTGATGAGATCAGATATGGTAAGAGAGAAGAGGTAAAGAAATTAAAAGTGAAGGGTTTATGCAGGAAGATACGTGAGAGAAAAGAAGAGTTAAGCTTGAGTCAAAGTTCCATGGAGGGAGTCAAAAGTGGCGTACGACGATGAGAATGGATAAAGAAAGAAGAGCTTCGAAAGCCTTGAGATATGAGAGTAATTGGGATGGCAGGGTAGGCTGAGGATAGTTAGACGGAAAATAATAGATCTCCGCCAAAAGCGTATTATGAAGTGATTAACACGGTAAAAGGGGAGGAAAAGGAAAATAAAAGTGATAAGAAGAATTAAAGTAAAGAAGAGAAGCTGATCAGGGTAGCAGGATTAGGCAAGAAGCTGAGTAGAGTAATCCAAGCTCGAATCTTGGTAAAGTGAGTAAGCTCAAAATAAGACTCATCGTAGAGGGGGGTTGAAGGGAGTAGGAACGCTAGGGTGTATAGGAAAGTAGGAGGAAGAAAGAAAAAGGAGGGGAAGTAAAGACGCGTGGAAGGAAAGAAGTAGATAGAGAAAAAAGGGCATAAGCTGTAAGGGAAAAATAATTGATAGAAGGGAAGAAACAAAAGCGTGTTGGATAGAAGTTAGATGAGGATTCCGGATACGGAGTAGGATAGGAGGTGCAAAGGAAGGATTAAAAAAAATAAGGGGAGTAAACAAGATTAAGAAGAGGCAGGGGAAAGAAAGGGTTATGGCAAAGCGGAAGGATAGAAGAAGCTGCAGAGGGAGCTCAAATGAAGGAAAAGCAGCTAAAGTAGTTATGAAAGCAGCATAAATAGAGTAGAAGAAAATAAAAGCTGAGAGGGGAGGAGAAGATAAGTCCGAAGTGGGGATAAGAGGAAGAATAAAAGGAACGACAGGTAGTAGTGACTAAAAGGGAGTATTCAAGTAGAAAGATGGAGTGGAAGACACTGTGGAGAGTGGTGAAGCAGAAACAGAAAAGCTCGCGAGAAGTATGATAAGGAAAGCAATGAAAGGTAAATGAAAAAGAAGGACAGCTGAAGAAGAGAGGAAGATCGCAGTGAAGTGATTAAGTACGAGGGGGATAAAGCAAAGAAAGAGAAGGTAACGAGTAAGCGAAAAGGTACAAGCAAAGGCGTCGAAGCTAAATGGATTGTGCAAAAACGCTGAAGGAAACGAGAAGAGGGACAAGATAGAACTCAAGGGAGAAAAAAAGGTAGGTAGTATGAAGCTGTGAATTAATAAGAAAAAGGGGTATATAAGAATGCAAAGAGGAGAAGAAAAGAAATGGAAGCAAGCTTGAAAAATCAGAGGGAGAGGAGGGACGTAAAAAAGAAAGCTAGGAGGGAGAAGGGAGAGCGGAAAGGAAAATAAAGGAGAAAGGGAAATGGTATATGAGAAGAGGAAAGTAGGAAAAATATTAAAAAAGGGAACATTAAAGACTCTATAGGAAAAAGGGGTGTGAACCAAAGGAGACAAGCGAGAAATAATAGTTAAAGAGGGACAAGATGAGAATCCGTGAAGCTGCAGAAAATAAAGCTACAGGAGAGGTAGAAGACGGACGGGCGAAAGAGGGAGGGGTAGAGCGAAGGGAGCATATTAAATAAGCTGAATGAGCGGATGATTAAAAAATTAAAGGAAATAAAGACTCGGTAGGTATGAGAGTGGAAGGAGAGTGGAAGCGGAGAATTGGCGAGATGGACAAAACTAGAACTAAAAAAAGATAAAAGAGGGAGAAAAATAAAAAATGTATTTATAGCTAAGAAGGCAAGAGATAGAAAAAAGAAAGTGGTAAGTGAGTGTGAAATAAAGTTGCCCAAAGAAAAGAAGCTAAGATATGTGGTGAGAAATAGGGGGAAGGGGAGGAGGGGTTGATTCAAACGTAAGTGTTGAGGAGAAAAAAAAATGGAGAGATAAGAGAGAATAAGATGTAAGAAGCTAAGCACTGGGGGCGGAAGGAAGAAGTGTAAAGAAGCAAAGAGGCATAACGTATGATTTGAAAAAAGCGAGTGACAATGGAGAGGAGAAGAAGAAAAAAGAACGAAGGAGGGTGAACAGGGGAACAGAAGTTAAAAAGCAAAAAAGGAGATGTAGATCGGGAAGCTAAAAGAAAGAGGTAGGAAATGGTTGGCAAAAAGGAGAAGGGGTTACGGCAGAAATAAGCTAAACCAGAGCCGGAAGAAAAGGGAAAGTTAAGAAAGAACAAAGAGAGGGGTACAAGGAGAAGAGAAGAGCTTGGCGAAATGTTTTTTTGGAATAGCAAGACAGGTAGAAGCTAAATGGTGTAAAGTAAAAGAGGGAATAGGGGAAGACCGACAGTGGAGAAATGAGACGATAAGGGTGCATCGTCGAGGAAACTAAAAAGAACGTGTGACAGAAAGCTAGGTTAAGGCCGAGCTTAAAGAGGAAGAGAAGAGTAGAGTAATGGGACGGAGAAGGAGATGAAAGCTATGAACAGTAAGAAAAAATAGTTCAAGTATTAATTGTCGAGATGGAAACGGGGAGACGAAGGAAGTAAAGAGCAAAGGAAAGATAATAACGGGGCGCGGAAAAGACGGAGTATGATAAAGGAGACAGAGGACTGAGTAGTAGAGTGGATGAGGGAAAAGAAATAAAGCTGGGAAGGAATAACGGGGCGGTATGAGAATCGAGGAAACTAAAAAAGAGGAGGGAGAAAGCTAACAAGTGACAGTGAGAGGAGAAATAGGAGGGCTAGGAAGTAAGAAAAAAAGTAAGAGGAACAGTCCAAAAATGAGAGGCTATCAGTGAATGAAAGAATTAGGAATAAGAACAAAAACAAGGGAAAAAGAGTAGGCCTGGCCAAGGTGGACGATAAATTGAGAAGCTAAATCTGTGTGGAACTTCATAGTAAAGCGTAAAGTAGAAGATAGTAGGAGAGGGGAACCAAGGGAAAAGGAGAAACTAAAGGAAAGGCCAAAAGCATGAAGCTTATAAGGAAATAAGTATGAGTAAGCTGGGACAATTTGAAAGCCCGCTTCCGCACGCTTATGCCACACCCGTTGCGGTTAGCCCAGCCATCCCCCCTCGGGAAGTGGGGCCTCTAGCCGCTCCATCGCCGTGTGGATACGCCAAGGGAAGGCCCACTCCCGCCCAAACGAAGTCTAAATGCAAGAGCCCCTCATCCCCCGCCCACGTCGAACGCTCTGACACCCCCAGCACGTGGCCCCTCGCCCCGCCCCCCTTCCCCCAACACATCAACCACTCGCAGCCGAACCCCAACCGCCAAACGCCCAGGCCACCCGATTGAGCTCAGCCACTGTGATAGCACCGCCAGAGAAGACACCAAGCCCAATCGACCCCCGTTACGCAGAGCGTAGCCCAGAAATATAGCTTAGAGCTTGACAGGCATAGGAAGTCCCCATGAGGGAAGTGTTGTGATAAACAATTAGTCGGGGCCACCTCGCCGCAACGCCCCCGCCCCCCCGCCACCGCATAGCCCCACACACCGTAACACCCGATCTCCTCGTCCAATCCCCCCCCACCCCCCCCCCAGCCACCCCCCACCCCCCCACTTAACCACCTTCACTATTTTCCCCACCCTTATTACTTCGACAGAAAGATCCTCGCTAAGTAGAGCAGCGTGCCCCCCTAAACCATTAATGAACTCAGCCAGCCCGACCGCTCCCCCCCACTCACCCCGTGTATCCACGCTCCCGTTGCAGCAGTATGGTAGGTGTGCTCGTTGGGGGCTTCCCAGGAAACGCTATATCCTCCCCTGCCTCCCATAAAAAGGAAACAGTGCACCCCCAACACTTACCCCACTCCGCCCTCCCTCGCAAACGCCCACCCACGAAGGATGTCCATACCGCCGAAAAATTGGCCGCCCCATGCCTCCTAAAACCACCCACACCTCTGACCAGTTCGACCTCCGCTACCGCCCCGCACAATCCCCAAGGATCCCCCCTAGGTCAAGCCCAAAGAGTTATCCCCTACCCACCGCCAAACCGAATCTAAAGCCCACCCTAAAATCCCACGCCCCCGGGGTCCCTAACGAAGCTTAGGCCCCAAACCCAATGACCGCAATTAAGGACATTTAAAAGGAGTCCCCCAGACCTGAAAAGCCTATCACTAAAAAAGTTCGTAGCGAAAAAAACATCCCCCCCACGCCCCCCCCGATAAATAAAAGGCGAGACCCGTGATACCGCATCCCTGGGACCCCGTGTAACACATGCAAGTTTTGCGGAAATGGTCCCCCAACCCCACCCCTGACCGGTTCCCTAGTGGCTCTCCCCAAGCTCCCAACACTATACGATACGAGGGATCTGTCCACCCCTTCCACCAACCTCCGCCCCAAAGAACGCTCTCTCCGCTCCCTCCTCACCCCCACCACGGACTGATCAAGCTGGGAGAAATTTTCCCTAAACCCAGCGGCCCCCAGACGTGTAGGAGACCCACCTCGCTCGCCTCATAAGTCCCATACCCCACACCCCGCTCCCCACCCCTTACGCTCGCCCACCAGTGTGTCTCACCCCCGCCCCCACCGGCCCCCGCTACCCATCACCTCCCCCCCCCCCAACAAAGTTGCAACAACCCCTTCCCTATTTGGAGAAGCTAGGCCCCACGGTAAGCTCTACCCGAAAGGCAAAGGACCCAAAACCCGCTACTCCCTTCAGAAGTCTAAGGGCTTGAACTCACGTAAGAGCCCAAAACTCGTAGAAAAGGGATAACTAGTAACGCCACCAATCCACATGAGGGACCCAATGCGATCCCACTCCCTCGGGAGCCCACCTCACCCAAACCCACCCCAAACGCCCCAAAACGCCATCAAAGCCCAAACCACCTGCGCCCCCTCCCCATTGGAAGATCCCCCTACCCCAAAACCCCCCCGAAAGCCCCCCACAACCCGACAAACTCCCACCCATGCCGCCCTCAAAAGCAGGGGCCCCCAAAAACGACACCCTCACGTCCTCACAAGGAATGTAAGACTGTCGCCCACGGTGAAGGGTAAATCACCCCCAAATGACTTAGTAGACCAAACCACCCTAATCCTCCCACCCCCTCGAGGCTAACCCCGCCACCCCACCGCCTTTCTACTCTAACTCCCGAACACCCGCAATGCGATGCTGGATGATCCCGGCCTCAAAGTCCCAAGAGAAAAAAGGCCCCAGCCAAGACCCACCCCCCCCCCCAATCTTGATACTAACTTGCGCTAACATAGTCACACTAAAAGAATCAACTAATGCGCCTTACAAAATACAAACACTGCCGTTACTAGATTATTGTTCAATAATTTATTGCAATTCCAGAGTGAGTGGTAGTGCAGCATTAGAAGGAATGCAACGATCATTCACTAAACGGCTCCTAGGCTATTTCCATACCTTATCATTTATGGACCGAGTTATACATTACAAGTTAATCCATTGAGGCTGTGCCGTATGAAACTTAACCCTTCGTCTTTTTTTGGTATCCTAACCACAAAAATACTATCATCAATTCAGGTACTGTAACTAAAAGAACCAGTAAGATAATGCACAAGAAACAACAGCAGTAATAAAATATTAGTGAAAGGCTCGAACTAGGCAGTTGGACAACTTTTCTTTTACCGATAAGTCGTATTATGTAAAAGGCTTCCTAGTGAGATACGTGAACTTTAGTCCGGGATAAAATTTTGTAAGGCATTACATTCATTTGTGAACGTTGAAACAGCTATTTGTATGCTGCGATCAAATATGACAAAGGAATGTCCTTGTGAAACTGGAGTGAAATGCAGCTGATTTAATGTACCGTTTTCCTCATTTGCCCTACTCAATTGATTTCGCCACGGTTAACAGAGGCACTAAGTTAGTTCCTTGAATAACGCATGTTTTCCGCCTAACATCACAGCTGGGTGTATCAAGGTAAAACGTATCGCACTTAGCATCTTTCTACACCGCTAATTGTCTTCTATTTCCTCCTGCAGGTCATACGCGAGTGATACGCTGCAGCTTCCCGTACTCCACAATATCCCGTTGGATTAAAATTTCTACTCTTTTCAAGCGGCTTCCCCCAAACGGAACTACCTCAAACTCATTTGGGAGCTTTACTGTTTACAGGTAGTTCGAGCGCACTGCTGAAATAAAAACGTTCAATTATTTGTTTAGTTGCCCCCTTCGATTGATTGTATAGACAACCGCCAGACCACATCTCATTCTAGAGACGCACATAACATTCACTTATTGTACTCTTCATTCTATTCTATTATTTTTCTTCTCTTTCCGTGATTGGTCACGACTGGGCCGATCTCTGGGGGTGATTTAGCGTACTTTTCAAGATAAATAATAGTACATACGAGAGGCGAATTGCCACAAACACAGTGGTGAGCAAAATGGATACCGGTCTAGAAAACACTCTACATGTTGACAGCTTATTACATAGAACAGCTGTCATAAAAAAATAGTCATGATGACAGCTTACCTCCTTTACTCAACATCATCACAGCATGGCAAGATAAGGCGTGGACGTGCCGAGGCAACGTATCCATGGACACCCTGCATGGAAGCAGGTCTCCAGGAGACGGCTCCACGAATGGTCGTATTGCTGCTTGAACTGCTGGTTGTAACTACCGTGAATTCTACGCACTGCTTTTTATCATTTGTATTACTTTTAAATATTCAAACACCCCAAAACTACTCTGGGACCCACACTATGAAATACAAAGCATTTTATCCGCCAGTTGATTATGTTGTACCTAATGACCAGACAACGCATTGGGTCTGTCTCGCATCATCGATAAGTATACAGTTTATATATTTATTTATTCAATACTCACACTCAGTTCGGCAGCAGATAATTAATTTAGGATATTGCAGCAACATTAGATGCATAAAATGCCCCTCCATGCCATTCAGGTACCTGCTGTTTGTTGCATGTGCTGCGCTTGGGTGTTTAGAAACAACAAACCGGCTCAGATGACCATCAGCACACAAATCATTGGTCATCAATGAACAGAAGCATCTGAATGGTAACACTATTACGTGGAAGAGTTAAAGTTGCACCATTGGTTGCTTTTCACGTGTCGTGTGTGAGTAGAAATCGAGAAGAGGGAAATCGGCTCAATCACGTACAGGGACAAATTTATTTTACATTTAATTGACAACGCAAGTATATATAATCAGACGGTGTATGAGCAAACTCCTCACGGAAAGAAGCATATCAAAAATGAACCGTAACTGGTCCCTCATATTCGTGGTTAGTGCAGTATGTTAGCGTCTGTTAAACGCTAGTTATTTCAAGCTCTCAAAGACATTTTGCTAACACATGATTGTCATATAATCACAACATTTGGTTATTAGCAGCAACTTTAGACGGTTAGCCCACATGTTAAATAGGCTTAACTGCGAAGTACTCGCTATCTTTTATGTGTAGAAAACTTAACATTTTGGCGTTTAGAAAAGATGCTGCTTACATATGACCTTGTTTAAACATGTGTAATTACTTGTTGTGTACCCATATAACATTTTATGGCTGGTGAAGATGTATGTGTGTATTTTAACTATATCAACCCGTAGTGCTCCAACCCTCTTGTAAACTGGAACTATCGCTCGTTTCTGAGCTTATTTCAAGATGTTACTCTTTTAGATGCTGTCGTCCACCAAAAAATTGCACTTGTTGATTGCCATGGCCGCTAATATTGCAAACTGCATTTTGTTCAACTGTAGATGATTTCAATTGCAACTGCAAATGCCTGCATAAAAAGAGCAACTCCAATATGAGAAGAATGTCGCAAAGAACGTAGGCGGTGGCCCATAAGAACAGTTACCGATGGATTCGGACTGGTACATTATTCGTTAAGAGACATGAGGAGGTTCAACTTATGTATAGCACGCTGTGTAAAAACATTAGTGGTGCCCGCACCATAAGACGACATGTTGTTGGATGACAAAGTGTAATTCATGTATCCCATCGTTCGGTTCATACTTCCATTGTAATCCATTCAACCTTTTATAGTTAATAACATTTGACGGGTACGATTTTGTCTAAGGATCCTTATTTCCTCCATAGGACTTACAAGCCTTGCTAGAAATAGTAAAGGTGCTTGTTGCAACCGTTAATTAAATGTAGGTCATATCATCAATTGAAACACTGTAACAGAAGAAATGTAGATTCAGAGAAAACAGGTTAACTAATCACGTGAGTATTACTTTTGATTTTGCACATATGGCACAGAAGTGGCCGTAATCAATTTTGATGTGCTTACCATCGCGATGCAGTTGGTCACCAATGACTTTGCAGAACCTGAGTTACGAAGCGGTTTCGCCAAGTATGCAAGCATCTTGCTGAGTTATGTGTGCGTCATCAACCTACCTTTAGATAAAGATAGTTTACCGAAGTTTAGTGTCAGGATAAGTTCTTTGTTATACCAGTATTTGTTTGGTGATATGTTTCAACGTTTCAACTTTTCACGCACTAACCACTAACAATGTTATTGCACGCCATACATTTTCTTCGTTTAGTTCGTCTATCAATACTTCTTTCCGAAACGTCGATCAATCCACTGACTAACATAGGTAAAAATTATTTATCAGCGCTCGTATTTTGCAGTGCTTCAAAATTTCGACAAGCTGGCAACCACATTCTCTAATTGGCTGACCTATGAACTCGCAACTGGGATGGGGTTACATTCAGTATTTCACAGAGCGATTATAAGGCGTAGCCTATTAGTAGTACTTATACGCCTATTTCTCGAGCCGTAAAGAGGTTATGCTCATAGAAACAACAAATATATTTAAAGAGAGTTTCACATGCTTAATCCACAGACGGTGTACAATGCTACATATGTCACATGGGGTATTGAATCCTAACGATTAGAAACAGCTAAATTAAGGTCAACATTTCTTCAACATGCCATAAGCTTGAGGGAAGAAAGTTTGTTCTCTGGGGCTTAGACAA